CATTGCTAGCCAAGGGTGATGGACACGGTAGAAGTGCTCTGTGTTTCATTTGTGATTTCTAATGAAGGAAGACGATTCTGTAGTTGGGGGATTTGGCTTGAACCAAATCTGACTGGCTGGTTGTTAATTTGGTTTAGCTTTGTAGGTGGATGGGGCATGGGGAAAACAGGGCTTGAGGGATTGTACCTCAAAGGCTGGTGGAGCTCTAAGGAGTCACCAGAGAAAACGCTGGAAGCCAGTGTGCATAAAAAAGTACCTGGCCTTTCTCTAAGCTACTGTTGGCATTTGACCGAAGGAAGCGAAATGTTAGTGCTATGAGATGTGGTCCAGAGGCATTTTCCTACTGATGGAACCACTCTGAGTGCTTTAAACACCACTCTTTGAAAAGTATGTTCTATCAGAAGAAGCTTTTGTACTGGACACCAGTGGGTAACAGGTGATCCTTGTTTCTTGGGGTGTGAACCCTTCTATCATAGGCTCTGGTTGTATATATGATATATGGTTTATAAGCACATTCTCTGCTGTGCCTCATTTCCAAAGGAAACACAGACTTCAGGAAAGTGACTGGAAACTCTGGAATCTTACACCACCTGGAGATTGTTTTGGTGTGTACAATATACCTTATGGTTGGAATTAAAGCTTACTTGCATACTGCATTATGTATGCATACAGCTATATAAACAGCTTTTTACCTTATCTCTGGTTTTTTTGCATTAAAAAAACCTGACAATACATGAGACCCAAAAAGAAGAGTTGGATCCAGTCTAATTAAATGAGTTTTGATTCCTAAGTCATTAAAGTTTCCTCTAAGATTGCAGGAGATGATAGTTCATTGGCTTATGTTATTTTCTTGACTCAAGAAAAAAGGGTTTGATGCTAATTTAATTTTACTCTGGAGACAGGAGACATATTGGAAGAGAAAAATAAGGCAAAAGAGGAATCTCTGAATACCAGAATCTGTCTGAATACCAGTCCGTTTGCTTTCTCTTGGTGTGAACTGAATATAATTTCTGTTTACAACTTTTGGTTTTGTATACACCAGATCATCTCTTTTATATCTCATGCAGACATCAAGCTAGGCATTTTCTCTTCCCACTCCCTGCCATCAGGCTGGGAAATATTCACATTTTATTACCATCTTCATTATAAGTTTAGATTCCACTGGACTGAGATTTGCCTTGCGCTTCAGTGACACCATCTTTTCTGGGCTGCTGATCCCAAATCATTTCTAAAATAACCAAATTGTGGAGCTAAAACATGAATTGCCTGCTCAATGGAAGTAAACAGAACAAGCACAGGCACCGCCAATAATTCATGCAAATGTGAATTTGTCAGAGGCTGATCACATGGAGGAGAAAATAGCTAGCTGGTGACCAGATCAGCTGAATCAAATTAAACCTCCACCCCCCCCTTTGTTTTTTATAAAAGGGGCACATTTGATAATCGTATATTGCTTGATAACCGTAGAAACATTACCCCATCTGTGTGTGTGTGTGTGTGTGTGTGTGTGTGTGTGTGTGTTCCGGAAATAATACAAGGCACAGACCTAAATAAATACAATAACTCCTATTTCCTTGCCTCTAGCCAAATTTGAGTTCATATATTTTACATGCTTTTGGTTATGAAGGGTATCCATTCATATTAAAATGAAAATTCAGCCCTTCTCTTGTTGGCTTAGCAAAAACTGTTGTTTGCCAGCTTTATTCCCTGTTCCTGTGACATCCCAAAAAGCTGTTATTTGTCTAGTGGTGAAGAAAACTTATAAATCAATAACCCTGACAGTACACAGGCTGAAACTCTTTTCCTTAATATGCCCTGAACAGTGGTTCATGGTATGGTGTATATTTTTACTTCTCTCTTTTTCTTTTGCAGCAAGTGTATTCAAGAATAGCTCATATACCAACTCAGTCATCTGCAACTGTAGGATATTGTGCAGAACTTTTCTGCTCTCCAGACAGACTAATACATTTATACTTGAAAGCAAGCAACAAGGCGTTGGAACTTGTGAATAGCCTTAGAGCACGCTCCTGCTTCTCACCAACCAATTTCATTTTTCTGTAATTCAAGCCACTGGACAATGAACGTAGTAATTGCTAGGAAATTGGGCTGGTAAATTTGCACAGAAGGGTTTGTAATAATTCCTGCTTGCACAAAGGTTAAAGCATTTTGAGCACAGCTTATGACTGGAACATTAATGTGCTTTTGAGTCTGTAACACCAAAGCGGGCCTGTAGGTATTTGAAAGGTAGGCATCAACTAAAGCTTAACCATCCTGCTTATACTGGGGTATAATATGATTTCCTGAAGTAGGGCTGCTTTGTCGTGATTTCTGCACCATGGTGGGAAAATTACTTCACTCGACTTTGTATATCATCATTACCTGCCTGGTTCCCAGAGGCTGATAAATGGAAGCACCAAAGAGCAAGGAATGAAAATGAAGGGGCTGAAGGGGGGGTCTCTCCGTGCGTGCCTCCTTCTCATAAATGAATCTTGTTCATTTCCTTGGAGAACTTCATTTTTTCTACTCTCAGTCTCGTAGCACACACAAACTGGATGTCTGTTTAATGGGGAATCTCAAGTCTGAGGCCCAGATGCATACCTTCCAACATTTCTCCCATGAAAATGGGGATGTACTATTCAATGGTGGCAATGATAATTTTATTATTCATACCCCACCCATTTGACTGGGTTGCCCCAGCCACTCTGTGTGGCTTCCAACATATATCAGAACATAATAAAACATTAAAAACTTCCCTATTTACGGTTGTCTTCAGATGGTTGTATAGTGACTTACCGGTATCTCTTTGGCTTGGTGTGAAGAGTCCTTTCCTCTCCCAGTAACTTCATAGGCAAGAATCACAAGCAGTTTGTATTTGATAGCCCTTTCCATTCAGTCATCTGGTTGCAAAGCAAGAATCTATATCTCTCCACAAAGAGAGGTGTTGGCTACTCTGAACCCTTCCACTTCCCTCCCCAGCAACATCCTAGGTGCCAACAGGAAGTTCCAGCCCTCTGCATTCTCTGTTCTTTAATATGGCTGGACCTGTGAGTCTGAGGGGAGGGGGGATGGCTCAGGCTCTCTAGGGGGGACTCTGCTAGCTGTTTCCTCCCTTCCCCCTCTTCTCCAGTATCTCATAGCTAGATAACTCCTGCGGAGGCTGTGCAGCATTCTCCTCTCTCTCTCCTACTGAAACTGCTTGTGAGAGGGTGGGGCAAATTGTCCACCTCCTCCTCCTCTTCAGAGAGAAGCTGATCTGGCTGAGGATACACTTCCTAATCCTCCTGTTCAGACCATTCCCTGACACTTAGGGATCATATAACCCTCCAACATTTCTCTGATAAAGATAAAGGTAAAGGGACCCCTGACCGTTAAGTCCAGTCATGGATGACTCTGAGGTTGTGGCACTCATCTCACTTTATTGGCCGAGGGAGCCGGCGTACAGCTTCCAGGTCATGTGGCCAGCATGACTAAGCCGCTTCTGACGAACCAGAGCAGTGCACGGAAACACCGTTTACCTTCCCACTGGAGCGGTACCTATTTATCTACTTGCACTTTGATGTGCTTTCGATCTGCTAGGTGGGCAACAGCTTTTGTGAATCTGGGATCTGACCCTGGAAAACAGGAACAGTTTCAGACTTGGAAAGTCTGCAAATACAGCCCTCTAGGACTCTCTGTCCAGCCCTTGGGATTCTGTCAGGACATGTAACCCACTCCAGCCTTCACTGACTGACCCCTCCTCTGTGTCTTCTTCAAGTGCTGTTGACTGGCTGGAATGTGTCCACTTGAACTGTGATATTGCCCCTGACTTGCCTGGATGGAGAACGTTGAGAGGGATTAAGCATGGCTGAATGTAGCCTTCTGAGGTCGAGCTCCTGGTCTCACATCCTAACCACCCTCCAGGTCTCTTCCCCACCTCTGCTCTCTCGGCAATGGGAGTAAAGGAGGTTCCACATTCCCTTCACAAGCAAGGCTTTGGCTACCTGGTTGATGAGCCGATAGCAAAGGCTTGTCTCAAAGATTAAGCCATGTAAGTCTAAGTATACATGGGTGTTACAGTTATATTTAAGCAGTTACAGTTCCTTTAGTTGTTCCAACCATTACTTGGATAAGTGGCCACGGTGTTGCTACTTAATTTACATGGGGAAAACCGGTCCATCTTTGCTTTTATTCACGGCTTCACAAGTCAAAAACACTCACTAACAGGAAATAAAATTGGTTTCTGAGTAAGCAAACCACTTCCCTACTTTGAAAATGTTTTTTGTTTTTGTTTTTGAAAAACACCCCATGTTCCTCTGCACTAGAATTATTTTCATCATTTAATAGGAGAAATCAAATAAGGAGCCAACCGCTTATGCGTTGGTTTGCTTATTTGCATCTTCCTTTGATGCAAGCATTTCAAAGCATTCAAGTAGGAGTTTAGTTTATCCCCTTCCTTTGTTAATGGCTCTAGTTGCCTCTCTTTTCCTTTCAGAACAAACAGGTACAATTTTATTATTATTTTTGCTAAATTTCTGTCAGCTGATGGGAGATTTGTAGTAAATGTAAAACCAGATGTTCACTTGGGCCTTGGTTTCAGGCAAGGTTTGTATTCTTTTAACAAATGGGTGATATGCAGAAATTTAACACTGAAGCTTTCCCAGTAATGGAGTAATGCGCCAATGGTGAAAGCTTGGCAGTCTACCTGTTATTCATTTATTTAAAGTTTTATATCCACAGTGTGGTTTATGATAGAACTGTGATGCAATACTGTTTGTTCAACTTGTGCTTTAATGAGTATTGTTCATTGTATTCTGCCATTTGTATTGTAGTGCGCACTGCAATGTAACTGATGGGGGAAGTCTTCAGGTCAGGTGAAAGTTGGTTTAACTGTCACTGAAGAACTTTAACTGACACAGATGAGGAGGGGTTGGAGATAGAACTCTCAGTATGCAAATGAAGGATAGAATATGTGCATATTCTGATTGGTGGGTACAGGTTTAGAATTTTCAGTTATACCATTTGATTGGCTGGGGCTGGACTAGAGGGGTCAGGAGAAGTGTATATATAGCTGAGTACTAGTCAATTTGGGTTAGTCTGTAGTGGCCAGAAGGAGGCAGCAGAGGAAGAAGGAAGAAAACCTGGAAGGAAGCCAGAGTTGCTTTGTTGTTTGAAGACTTGCCGGGGTAGCTGAATCACTTGGCTTAGGATGAAGAGATGAGGGGAAGAATCACAGAGAGAGAGCAATTGAGAGGTAGTTTGGAATACCAAGCTCTGGTGTCTGGTAGGAGACCCAAAGGAAGATTACACAACAGGGCAGCAAAATCAGAGCTGTGCTTTAGAAGGTGAGTAGAGGCAAAACAGAGGCCTCAAAAAAAAAAAGCCAGGCGTAACTGGCGTGCAGTAACTACTACACCAATGTGGCAAAAGAGTTTTAATAAAGTATATAAGTGCTTCTTCAAAGTTGTCTTAGTGTTCTGAAATAATCTTTTGATATTTAAAGTGACAGTAACAAGTTAACAAAGTGCACATCCATTTCAAGAGACTCCTATTTCAAGTACTCCCATAAGCTTGTACAATACAAAATCATGAAATAAATCCATGTAAAAAAAAATGTTGCTTATATCTGATCTTTTAGCATGATTTTAGTTTACAGTTACCAGGGGTTGGGGTTAGTTAAGGCTGCAAAGTGTATAAATAATATTAAATGGTGGCAGTAGTGTGGATTTAGGAAACCCACTGGAGAGGAGGTTGGGGAAAATATCCCCTTCCTTCCACAATCCAGGCACTCTTGGAGGAAACTGATTTTCTAGATCCACTTCAATCTGAGTTTAGGGTCAGTTTTGACAAAGAAACTGCTTTGTTCTCCCTGTATGACGAGGTCTGTCAGGAGAGAGACAGGGGAAATGTGTTGATGTTATTTCTCCACAACCTCTCAATGACTTTCAATACCATCAACCCTGGTATGCTTCTGGAGTGGTTGTCTCAGCTGGAGGTGGGTGGCACTGCTTTGTGGTGGTTCCAGTCCTACTTGGATGGTTGTTCCACCCAACCTTGCCTGGCTCTGCCAGGCAGAAGAGACCTCCTGAAGAGTGTCCTTATGTGGCTGGAAGCTACCACTGACAGCATCCAGCAGTAGCCAGTGTAACTATTCCCCCACCCCCCAAAAAAACCCCAACCCAAGATGTTTCAGGAGCAGGGATGGTGTGTGGTTGAGTCAGCACTGCATCCATTCCTGAGCTAGCACTGTTGCCATCACTTGTTGGGTAATGGCATCTTTGCTGAACCAGCCAGGGAGCTGGCATTCTGAAAGATATATTTTTTGTTTGCTGGCATGATTGGTGGAGCTGTAGATTTGGTTCCAGCTACACCATTCCATCAAGACCGTCAGCCAGGAGCTAGGATTGCAGCATAAAACACCAATCCTGAAGGCAGCAGTGAACTGAATATGGTTGAACTCATCTCATCTAACACCTGCTAGTTGAGGTAAATCAGCACTCTTGCACTCCTCTGTCCTTTTCTGTTTATTTTCCTCCCCTCTTTCCCATTTTACATTTTCCCTCTGCGATAAACTCCCGAGGCAGCATGACCAGCTCTGGGTGATTTAAACCTTGTCACTCCCTGTCAGAAACAACTGTGAATTCAAGGATTTTATGTAAATGGTTAATTATATTCAGAAGCAAGGGCACTTTCTATTGTAGTGGGATTCATGTGGCCACTTATTCCTTGAAAAAGGAATAAATTAAAGATGAGGCATGATGGAAACAAAACTGGAATTTTATTAACAAGCACTCTTTGAGGGATAAAGCTTAATAGTTACGCTAGAAAAGGCAGAATACTTATTTTTAGTCAAAACACTGTTACAGATTCAGCTAAGAACTCTACTTAAAACTTTCCTCTATAAGACTGTTTTTATTAAATCCTATTTCTCCTAGAATGGCTATCAGGTTTACCCTGACAGTAAAACGTCTCTAGCCCCTTTCTGGGATTTCTTCATTTCCCTATGGAAATTAGACCAGTTTGTCCTTCCTAACAATCCCTTAATCATCCAGCTACTTCCCTAGCCAGGCCCCATTTGTCAATTAAATGGTCAGATTCTACCTTTTCACGCTCCACTCCCTCCTGATTGGTGGTTGTTATGCCATCTTGATTACTCCATCCTGCCAGGATTGGCTAGTGGGTCTCCAGGAGGATGACCAAAGGTCTGTCCATCATACCCTTGCCATTAGCATATTATTCTCCCGTGTTTGAAAGGCTCTGCTTTCCTTGCATCCATGTCTTCCCCACTCCAGCCATGGCAGAATCCCTTTGGAGTTCTGCTGACACCAGAAATCCAACTTTGGTAGTGCAAGGGCTGCAGATGTTTTCAAGAATAGGGAGTGGATGTCCAACATCCCTCTCTAAGGGTAGATCTCTCTTTCTGCCCTTGGAGACAGAGATTTGATGCTGCCAATGACCCTCCCAAAGGATCATAGCATTGGAACACAAATAAGATAGCAGCATAAAAGCATCCAATCCAGACTGAAAGTAATAATAAAACAGTAACAGCCATTTTAAAACTCCAGACCAGCTTCTGCAATGAAAAGAAAATTCCAACACAAAAGGAATTTAAGGCCCATTTAAAAGCATCAGAATGGTTGATGTGGAGGGAAGTAGATCCTTTGGGAGGGACAGTGTTTTTTTCTGGGGGGTGTGCATACCCCTAACATTTTGTGAAAATTATTTCTTCTCTAGCACGGTGAATTGTCAGTTCTGTTGCTACCCCCGATGGTGGCCTCATTTCCTGTCACAGTGTTTCCTGAGTCTCAGACGGAAGCGAGCGTTTAATATGTGAAGTAGGAGTTGGAATCTAGCATGGTGATTGGTCACTTTCCTTGTTACCACCTCCAATGGCGGCTTCATTTCCTTTCCCAGTGTAATGCATGTTCTTTGTACTTTTGTCCATTTACTGTATTTATTTTCCCTGATTTGAACTATAAAACGTTGATTTTCTTGAGTCAAAATGAGAGTACCCCTAAACATTTTATTTTATTTTATTTTGTAGGGAAAAATCATTGGGAAGGAGAATTTCACAGCATCAGAATACATGGGAAATGCTAGGACCTCAGTTTTCACTGCATTGAAAAACACATCACTCTTTTTCTTGTTATTCATGGAGACCTAGCCTTGTTTTCTCTAGCAGCGTTGCAGGTTTAGCAAACAAAAGAACTGAGCAAATCTATCTTTCTTTCATCTGACGGTGTGGACAGAAGTGCTTTGGGGTACATGGAAGCAGTGTTGCAGCTGAAGAAGAATTTGTAGGAACTTCCATCCCGGCAGGGCCTCTTCCACTGTCTCTTGTTTGCTCTGCATCGGTGGCCTGATATTACTTATCCTAACACAGCCCATCAAAGTGACAGATACTCTGCAAGACATATGATAACAACCTGGTGGGAAAGTGTCAGGAAATGACTTTCACCCTCCACCTCTCCTTATGCCGTGTGGGAGTGATGAGAACTGGAACAGATAAAAGGGCCATTTTCTTGCAGAACAAAAAGCGTTCACGTTTTGTCATCTTGTCCAGACACATGCAAGCAACACACAGAGCTTCCTTTGACGCCACAGTCATTTGTGCTTGGGGTAAGATGACCCAGAAGCCCAATAGCACACAACTATTGAAAGGATAGGAAGGAAGCCGGTTCTCTTTTGCAGCTGGTCAGTCAGTGCTGCAAACTGGGAGAAGGGATGAGTTTGGGTGCTGGATGTAAGCTACATGTAAGAGATTCAAAGTTCCCTATCTCCTAACCATGGTTAAAGGATTAAGAAGAGGCTCCTGTAGCTTCACACAGGCTTGGCATGACAATTTAGTATCCTCAGGCAGCTACCTACCCACTGGATGCTGACCAATGATGTCTGCTACGGCTTAGCATATTGATTACTAATAATAATTATTATTTTATTAAAGCTTTTTCATAATACAATAAGATAAAAGAAACTAATATAAATAAAAACAAAAACAGAGAAAGAGAAAGAGAAAGAAAAAAGAAAACACAGAAAATAAAAAGGGGGGGAGAAGAAAAAATTAAAGGACTTCCAATTTTCTGTCTGTCGTTTACATAAAAGAAATTATTCTGCTTTCTGTTAAGCAATAATTTCACACTCTTCAGACCCAATGTCTCCAATACAATTTTCTTTTCACGCAAAAAGTCCAAATGAACAGATGATTAATGGGAAGGTACACTGCTCAGGATGAACACACAATGTCACATAACACCCCTTCAAACACATCAGAATAAATGCTCAATAAAGACCATAGTCTAACCTCTGCATAAGCTTTGTGTGAGCAACTCAGGATAATTGCTCCATAAAAGGTCATCTGGAGAAGCCTTCTCCCAAAGAATCCTGGGAACTGCAGCTTGTTAAGGATGCTGTGAATCGCAGCTGTGGTGGGAAACTACAGTTTCCAGCATTCTTTGGGGGAAGCCATGAACTTTAAATGTCCATTGAATGTGCTTTAAATGTATGATGCACATCTGCACTCACTCTATCTTTATACATATACACCCATATAGACAGACACATATCTGTAAATGTATATCTTTTTCCATAGATGTATACTGATAGAGTTGTCTATACGCATGTACAGAGATGATCCATTTTCACAAAGTCACAGGTGAAGCAGACAAGCGAGTCAAACTAATAATCTAATCTGCTGTGAGTGCCTCATCCTGGCAGCCAAATGTTTCTTGGGCAAAACGATGGCGCCACAGTTGTTGTTTTCCAGGCCAATTATTGCACAGTTTAGCACATTTAAAGAAATATCTTCTGAATGTTGCACGTATTGATTGTCGGGACAGGCGAGGCGGCATGCCTCCCTGTTGGCAATGAAGTGACAAGCGGAGAGAAATTCTCAGCTCTCCGGAGTTTTATCAGTCTTTCAGCTAAACATTTGATTGGGATATTTACGCAGTAGGTAACGATTTAAGCAGTTCACACTGTGCATAAATACACAGCCCCAGTGACACCTCGGAGACAAGGGCAATGCCAGCGGAGGGACTTCACTGGCACTGATCTCAATCATTTAAAGGTACTGTTTTTGCCATGAAGGGCTGAGTCAATTCCTAATAGGATTTCAAGGCTCCTTGCATCTCCTAAGAAACTTCAGTGGCTCAAAAGTTCAAAGTCTTCTGCGTCACGGAGATTTGCTAGCAATTTTCAGTTGACTTTCGAAAAGCCCGCAGTTCCATGGGGTGCCATGATTAACCTTTAACTAACCTTGAACAAGCCTGGTTTATGTTATTTGCTCTCTCCTTTTGTTATACTGATGGCATGGATTCAGGGCCAAAGAAGTTTAATTTGTCACACAACGCGTAAGTTGTGGAATGCGCTCCACAAGTCGTGATGGCCACCAAGCTGGATGCTTCAAAAGAGGACAAGAGAATTCATAGAGGTTATCAATGGCTATTAGCTAATTGGTGTCCCAAAAATCCTGCTCTACCTGGCAGCAAGTCAGTAAGTCAAGTCCCAAGTTCAACAGGTAAGAAACGCAGTCAGGGGTAAGTCCAAAGTCCTGTAGCATCCCAGCCAAGGTCCATCAAGATGAGCAGTTGAGCAGGCACAGAACCTCAGCTCTGCTGCCCTTTTATATTTTATTATTATTATTTATTAATTGAATTTATATACTGCCCTGTACCCAGAAATCTCATACTTTGCATGCTGATTGCAGCATCTGGGCTTGATGAGTCATATGCCCCTCACCTGTTCCAAGCCTACTCCAGCTGAGGAATCACACCCCTCTTCTCAGAGCTAGAGAGCTGTGGACCCATGGCTGTCTCAGCCTCCTGGAGCACCCCTTCCACTGCTCACTATACCTTAGAGCCCACCATGTTTATAGACAGAGGCCCCTCTGACTCTGGTGATGAGTCCTGCTGCTCTGGTTCCTGGGCACTGCCATCCTCCATCACCCTGTGAGTACTTCCTTCCCCATCCCTAGCTTGCCCCGGTGTGCCCTATTCATGGCTGGGCAGCACCAATTGCCAGGACTCCTCCCTGTCGCCCTGCCAGTTCATGACAATTGGCTGTGTTCTGCCTCTGAATAACAGTTGCTGGATGCATCTTCCCATTTGTATCCAGTTGCTGTGCCATGAGTTCTTGCCAACAGATTTACATGCATGTGCATGCAGAGGCTTCAGTCCAAATACACAGTACCAGACCCAGGAAAGCATCCCTGCCAGTAGGTCTACAATGTCTGTACAGTCAGGTTTCCATTGAAGCCCACACTTAGAGGGGACTCCTGTGTCACAAAAGCACAGGCAGCTGTTTTACGCAGTGTCAGATCATTTGTTCATATGTTCTAGTGTTGCCTACTCTGACTGGCAACTGCTCTCTGCTAATGCTGTATGTGCCTGCCTGATAACACCACTGGAACCTCCTAAGGTCCTGGATAATGTCAAATAGCTCTTTATTAGCATTTTAAAATTAAATACACCTTGCCACAGTTTGCAAAGCAATAATGGAAAGGGAAAGAGGCAAAATGCTAAAAAGGAGGCTAAATAGAGATTGTCAGCCTTTGCAAAATCACACTATGATTACTCACGATATTAGAAGAATTGTCATTTCAAAGATCTCTGTGAAAGAAGGTCTACTCTAAATGACTGGCTGCAATGATGAGACAACTAAAATGTGACAAAATATTGAGGCTGTCTGTATTCCACAGCTGCTAACTGTACATTCCCAGCTGCTGGAGCTAGGATGTGTGTGTGTAATTACTGTATTTACTCGAATCTAATGCTCACCGTTTTTGGCCAAATTATGTTGCGAAAATTAAGGTGTGCATTAGATTCGATGGAACATTAGACTTGAGTGAATATGGTCAGTGGCGTAGCGTGGGGGTGCAGGGGGGGCCGGCCGCACCGGGCGCAACATCTGGGGTTAGGGCAAATCCACAGGTTAGGGGGCGCAAATCCACAGGTTAGGGGGCGCAAATTACTTGCCTTGCCCTGGGTGCTGACAACCCACCCTACGTCACTGAATATGGTAGGGACTGCTGTCATTACAAGAAAGCCAAAAACAGCAATGATTTTAGAACAACCATGAGAGTAATAGCCTTCACTGTGATGGAAGAAAGGACAGAGAAAGGTCAATTCTACTGCAGGGACTACTGGCTCCCTGTTGCTCCTTGCCAGCAGAACCCAGGCTGCTTTCTGTAGGGTCTGCAGCTACTTTTCCCATGAAGAGTCAATGACAGTGAAATGACCTCAAATAAGAGGAAATTCATCTGGGGACAGAACAGGCAGCAAACATGGTCCCTGATCCTAAAGTAAGGATAATGGGGTGAGGAAGCTTTGTCTGTAGCCAAATGGAGGGCAGTGAATGGCTACCATGTACTTGAATGGCAAAGTGTACACCAAGGATCTTAACTACACCATCCACAAGAAAGCAGAACCTGTCCCTTGTCTATGATGTCTATTGGGACGGGTTAGGCTTTGGTCCCAGCTCAGGAATGTCCCTGAGAGTCACAGTTTGCATTCTGACACAGAAATCAATTGGCCCCATTTACTTCTTTTCTTTCCCCATCTGTATTATCTACCCATCTGTTCTGGTGCTGGCAACACGTGCTAGTTACAGCTCACCTGGACTACTGCAGTACCCTCTGCATGGGGCTGGCCATATTGACTTGGGATCAGATGGTCTGGAAACCTGTCTTCTTCCACATGAAGACTTAAGAGCTCCAGGGGAAGAATCGTTGCTGTCCTGCAGGCATATGATGTGTTTTTGGCAGGTAAAGCACAATCTGTACATGGTACCCAGAGCTGAAGTGGTGATTCCCCCAAAGTGCCTCTTGGCACCTCTTTGACTTGGACACCAAAAAAGTGTCATGGGCAAGTGTCTACTAGAAGTGAAACTGATCTCCCTCTCTCTCACCTTGCCATGGAAGGAAAAGATCAGGGTGGGGGATGAGGGGGAAGGTAGAGGGAAACACCAGCATGAGGAGAGGGCAAGCTTGTAATCAGAGGGAATGATTGTGCTGGAACACTGCAATCCCAGTGCTTCAGAGCACAAAAGCAAATCCCTTTTAGTTCTCCCTCACCCCAAATCAACATGTTAGGAATGGTGAGTTTTGCTGAGGAATACCGGCCGCCACCTCTGCCCATCCCAGA